AGGCCATCATTGTGCGAACACGAAACAGAAAACTCGACTATTTCATCTTCTCAACATATATTTTATGGGCAAAATTTATGAAGGAGATTTAGAGAAATAGTTATTTAACAATAACAAGAGTGCACACGCTGAAATGTCTCGCCTTCTTTACTAATCATTGATATTATGTTGATAGTCCTAAATATAAAGCTTTATTACAACTGTCACATAAACTTAACATTAACCAAGTAAACTAAACATTGACCAATGAACCATGAAAATGAGGTCAAGGTCAGATGAACCATGCTAGGCAGGCATGTACAGCTAACAATTCTTCCATACAACAAATATAGTTGACCTATTGCTTATAGTTTAAGAAAAACAGACGAAAACACAAAAACTTAACACTGAGCAATGAACCTTGAAAATGAGGTCAAGGTCAAATAAAACCTGCGTGACTGACATATAGATCATAAAATATTTCCATACACCAAATATAGTTGAACTATTGCATATAGTATTAGAAAAAAAGACCAAAACTCAAAAACTTAACTTTGACCACTGAACCATGAAAATGAGGTCAAGGTAAGATGACACCTGCCAGCTAGACATGTACACCTTACAATCATTCCATACACCAAATATAGCTGACCTATTGCATGCAGTATTAGAAAAAAAGACCAAAACTCAAAAACTTAACTTTGACCACTGAACCATGAAAATGAGGTCAAGGTCAGATGACACCTGCCAGCTAGACATGTACACCTTACAATCATTCCATACACCAAATATAGTAGACCTATTGCATACAGTATAAGAAAAACAGACCAAAACACAAAAACTTAACTATAACCACTGAACCATGAAAATGAGGTCAAGGTCAGATGACACCTGCCAGTTGGACATGTACACCTTACAGTCCTTCCATACACCGAATATACTAGACCTATTGCTTATAGTATCTGAGATATGGACTTGACCACGAAAACTTAACCTTGTTCACTGATCCATGAAATGAGGTCGAGGTCAAGTGAAAACTGTCTGACGGGCATGAGGACCTTGCAAGGTACGCACATACCAAATATAGTTATCCTATTACTTATAATAAGAGAGAATTTAACATTACAAAAAATCTGAACTTTTTTTTCAAGTAGTCACTGAACCATGAAAATGAGGTCAAGGACATTGGACATGTAACTGACGGAAACTTCGTAACATGAGGCATCCATATACAAAGTATGAAGCATCCAGGTCTTCCATCTTCTAAAATATAAAGCTTTTAAGAAGTTAGCTAACGCCGCCGCCGCCGCCGCCGCCGCCGCCGCCGCCGGATCGCTATCCCTATGTCGAGCTTTCTGCGACAAAAGTCGCAGGCTCGACAAAAATGATTAGCAGAACACTGTCAACCAGAAAAGAAATTTTAGTCATGAATTTAGTCTAGTAACAATGTTGGATAGTGTCCATTGTCGAAGATGCACATAGATCCAGATGAGGGGAACATGCCTCAGTTTAGTTCGTTTATTTATCAACTGTTATCAGTAGGAAAATATTCATATATATATAAATATATTTGATTGTAGAAAGTTATCCAGCGTTTGTTCCTTTCCAGCAAACTGAAAATTTAAAAAAAAATTGATTTCTTGAAATTTATTTTAATCCTGGAAAATGCAGTTTCATGTCTTTAAAAGGACATACACGTTTGTCTGTAATATGTGTCCTACTATATCTGAGGAACACTAATGCAAAAAGATTTTGTGAAATAAAAATCAAGGTAAAAAGTATAAAATGTTTTTGCTTTTTACAGCGGATGACCGTGAGGTAATTCCGGTGTATTGCTATCGCCTAAATTTCCATTATGTAAATCAGTTTTGGGTTTTTAACCGATCTACTGATAAACATGATAAATACGCCGACATCATCGAGTGCAAAATAACATTCCTTATCGCTTGCTATATATTCATTTCTTCAATGAATACTCATCAAATATTTTTTTAGAACATAATTTAATAATATTAAAATGTTTTATATGTATGTAAGTAAAAATTATTAATATCTATGCAGACGTACAGAAAAATTGTGTTAACGCATGCGGAAGAATATTTCAAGAACGATTGCAATCTCCTATAAAGGAGGTGAAGATTATATACAGATACACGCAGAGTATTGGTCCTTGCTCTCTCGTTTTGCGGGAAAAAAATGAATGCCTGCTCAAATCCAATCTATAAGAAAAATCGAGCAATTATTATAGAAGAGTGTCCACCATGCACTTGCACTGCACTATTAATAATAAGTAGAATAGAATGATATACAAATGGATAAAAATTATATATACATGTAACTGTAATATACAAATATTAATATTAATATTAACCAGAGTATAATGATTTGTATCACTACAATCTGGGACTATTATACTAACGGTATGATAGTCCCAGCTACAATACATATATATATATATATATAATAGTTATTACGGTGATGTTGAATTCCCTTTCATTTATTTATCTTCCACACAAGAACTTGTCACAGAAAAAAAAAATACATCTGTTCATTATCCTCACTTTCAGGTATAAAGATGTGATTTTTTTTCTGAGACAAGTGCTAGTGACATCCACAATAACTTGCGGTCATCCGATGTTCAGTACTTCAGTACTTTGATTGCCTTTAGGTTTTATTTTTATTTTTAAAGACCATGTAAACAAAGTACCCGTAGTAAACTTATTTCAAACGGAATAGCACATCTAAATTTTACGGTGATGTTTTTTACCCAGCCTGGAAATTTAGATACGATCCGGGTAAACTTATTAATCCTTGAATAAATTAATTCTAAAAGGTTACCAAGTCAACACTGTAATTAGATCTTTGAATATTGTTTTTTATTGGTATAAATATTGATTTTGTTATCAGTAAAATTAAAACCATACTAACTATTATTGTTTTACACATATGCACATTCACGGTACTACAAATCTGTCGATACCTATATTTTGCCATTGCATAAAGTCATGTTTTTCTCTGACCGTTAATGACGTCTTTACACTAAATCCATTAGATTTTGGATGTGTACTGATTGATATTTTAGTCTTAGATTCATGATTTATTAATAGTTGTTATTGGGTTTGAAATTGCTGTCAGTAACTGCAATTACTCTCAGATCTGTACTTTGTACCTTTTTTGTTGTGAGGGATGCATAAATACCCTCCCACGTCCGGTCTGTCTTTTCGTTAGATGTTTTTTTCTGTTTGGTATCGATATGATGAGTTAAGCCTTTTCCACTGATTTTTATAGTTTGTTCTCATATTGTACTGTTATACCACTGTCCCAGGTTAGGGGAGGGTGGGCGCCTGCAAATATGTTTAACCCCGCCTCATTCTATATGTGCCTGTCCCAGGTCAGGGACCTGTAGTTCTGTGGTTGTCGTTGGTTCATGTCTGTCATATTTGTATTTGGTAAATTGTTTTGTTATAAATTAGGCCGTTAGTTTTCTTTATTGATTTTTTTTTCATATTTTTCACGTCGGAGCCTTGTGTAGCCGACTATACGGTATAGTTTTTCTCAATTGTTGAAGGCCGTACGGTTGCCTATAATTGCTTACATCCACTTCATTTGAATTTTGTTGGATAGTTGTCTCATTGGCAATCATACCACATCTCCTTATTTTGTATAAAGAAACGGTATACAGATCTTTGACACACTTAACTATATACTTAATATGTCAGAGTAATGTTTTGGACATGATGCATAACATGAGGGTGTGGATTTGAGGGTCTTCAATTCTGTATATAAACTCTTTATAAACCATATTTCTCTTTTTCAAAATTTTTGGCTTATTATTCCCCATTCTTAATATTTTAGCACCCCTTTGTTCTCCGTTCTTAATTTTGTTTTGCCCATTCTCCTCTATTCTTTTATTTTTGAACCAATTTCTCTATTCCCTATTTAGACCCTCTAACATTAACGCCAGGCTACAAAATAATGTCACACCTACATGACGACAATGTAGATAATTGTTTCCAATAAAGTACATTTACCCTTACTTTTTCTTTCCAATAGCAGTGGACAACTGCACTTAATTACTAAAACGGTGTGTTATTCTAGTTAAAGTGTACTATTGTCTTGCCGGTTTTTTTTTGTATGTGGTCGAATTAAAATGTCATATCACAAAGCATGTTCTTAAACAGTTAGTAATAAAGAAAGGAATTTAAAATTTAATTTAATTCATCGAAACCGAGTTAACTAATTCATTTCATGTGATGTGACATTAAGTCAAGGAAACGTGAATATGGATTCGATCTAAAACAAAATATGATTCATATTTTTATGTGGTCCCATCATGACTACAGTAAATTGTTGTAATGGAAATAGTAAATCACAATGACCATCTATCATACGCATAAACATAACAATTAAAAATGAGGACTTTACTGATTGTTTGTCTTGTGTTTACTGTATATTCAATATATCATGGACTTTCTCAGGAAAATAGTACAGACGCTTTATTTGGACAAGATTTGCTGATGGATTTACTTCAACTAGATGTCATGAATGAAACTGAAACGGTTGAACATATTGGAAATAGTATTCTACCCGAAAGTTTGAATGATACATGTACAATAACAGAGACGAATGGAACTTATTTTTGTTCTTGTTTAATTGACAAGAACCATTCCGGATTATGGGACTTCGCTGTCATAAGAAAATGGATCTTAAACTCGAATTATGAATTCCAATTTGATTTGAAATGTGTTAACTTCTCGAAGATTTTATTACCTTGGCCAATCAAAGCCAAGAATATCGATTTTATCAGAGTAAAAAGTTGTACTATAACTGGATTTTTTACGGACTATGGAAATCCCTATATCGAAACCATTCCGGATCATCTACGGGTCATGGACATATCTGACTCTATCATTCTCTGTGGACTTAAGGATTTGATGTCATTATTATTCAATTTCAGAGAGGTTACCGAAGATTTCAACTGCGGCAATGACAAAACTTTACAAACTCTCATATATACAAATATGACGTATGAATATAACCTGGACGAAATAAAAATTCGAAAAGACGATCAATCTGAAAATTCTAAAGATGACATCATAGGCGCCAGGAGTAACATGATTACAAAGACTCGCGAGATAAACCATAGATGTACGTTCAGCGACCTTGAAAAGATGGATCTGAGTACAAGCAGCACTAAGTCAAGATATCTCCTGTCTATTCAAACTGAACTATCAACATTTCCGAAGCTGACATTTTATAATTTGTCAAACACCGGACAAAGTGAAATCGCTAAGGAATTTCAAACTTGGTGGAGATTCTTTCCAAAATTGAAATTATTAGATCTCTCTTACAATTTCATATCAACCCTAGATTTGGATCCGTCAGCCGTCACGTGGAGTTCTTTCAAACTAAAACTAGATTTAAGATACAATAACATAACCGAACTAACACAAAGCGATTTAGAACTCTTGGGTAGCTTACCGAACGTAAACGTCGATATTCGAAACAATCCAATACATTGTGAATGTTCTGATCACATGATTGAAGTGTTGGAAATAATACATGATGATACGAAATGGGAAGCATTGGGCCTGCATCGATATGATTATCTTAAGAATATGACCTGCAACTTACCGGACATATTGAAAGGGAGAAAACTTTCAAAGATAACTAAGTCTGATCTATCATGTCCATTGTTCATTGCAACTTCACCAGCTCCTATAATAGTTCTAAGCGTCTGCATAGTGATTCTTATTGTTATCATTATTCTTTTGACAAAATTCAGAAAAGAAATATTTATTTTGACGTATACAAGATTTCATATTATACTTCCTTGTCAACCAGCAGAAGTTTCGGAGAACAAGACTTATGATGCATTTGTGTCGTACAGTAGTCAAGACGAAGAATGGGTTTCTAAGACGTTTAAAGAATTAGAAACATCATCTCAATCCGACGGTTACCACCAGTTCCGGTTTTGCCTTCACCATAGAGACTTCATTCCTGGGAAGACAATTTTTGACAATGTTATAGATAGCGTTGAATCAAGTAGACATACAGTCATTATCTTATCAAAACATTTTTTACAGAGCCACTATTGCATGTATGAATTTCATGAAGCTTTTCAGCAAAGTATTATAGAACGAAAACGTCACATGGTGGTCGTTTTAATGGAAAATATTCCTGAGGGAGAACTTCCAACTGATTTAAAAAGATGTCTCAAAACATTTACATATATTAGAAGAGACGATTCAATTTTCAAAGATCGATTGATATTTGCTATGTCACATAAAGCGAGGAAAGAAGCGAAATCCATTAATAAAAATACAGTTACCGACGGCCTTGACAACCCCGTATTTTCCTCATCAGAGAAAGATGTAACGCTTCGATTACAGACATCCAGACCTCGGCATGACGACTCGGTGATAACATTGAGTCAGATCGTACCTGATCTCGTCGTGGGATATAATGAATCTAAAAGAAATGGATATACAATAGCATAATTCATTTTCATCTTTCAAAACGAAAGATGGCTAATCTGATGCGTTTGTCAATTTTCTTGGTGTGAAACAGAGCAAACCAATTTATCCGCTCTTATTCTTATTTTTCTTTAACGATATAATCAGTGATATACAAGTTGATAATAATGGTGATCCCAGTCAACATATTTGAGTTCAATGGTTATCTCATATATTTGATATTATTTGCTGACGATACAGTTCTGATAGCAAAGTCTCCCGATGCATTGCAAATATTGTTGGATACATTGGCAATTACGGACATGACGAAAAGTGTTGTCTTTCGAAATAGTTGGAAGCCTGAAAATGATAGATTTTATTTCGAAGATCAAGAACTTGAAATCGTATATATATATATTTTGGTATGTTTTTTTTTTCATTTCAATTTAATTAAATGAAAAGAGTATTCATTGAACCTAGTCAAAAGTGTTTTCTATTCAACAGTATGATTGGATCTGTTCTGAACTATTCGTCCGAGAGATGGGGATTTTATCGGGCCAATTCGATGTATAATCTGTTAATAATCCTTTTTTTTTTCGCTATATACTTAACTTAGGTAAAACTGTACTTATTTCGTTCTTACGTGGAGAAATCGGGCACCTCCCGATATGTATTTTAAGAAAATATAGAATAGTTAAATAACATAAAATTCATATTTTATGTTATTTAACTATTCTATTGATCAACCATATTGTTTACGATGTATTCAAAATCTTATTTATTGATGCTTCTAATGGCAAAAACATTGGGCTCCTAATGCACGAGACCTTTTGTTTAGTTTAGGTTTGAATTATATATGAATTGACTAAGATAACATTAATGAATTGATTTATCTCGTATCAACGATTCATATTATCAAAGCTGTATGCTAATATAAATGCTTATGAAAAACTGTCTTTCTCTAATTTTCATGCTATTTTCACATGTCTCGATCGGTGTGAGAAAAATATTTCTCATCTGTAGAGAAAACTTTGTTCTCGACAAATGATCGGTTGAAATTTCAATTATGACGTGAAATTTTTTGATTTCTTTTGAAATTCCCATTGTGACGTTATGAAAAAGGCGACCATGCCTGATCACATCGCACATAAAGAACACAAATCTTTGAAGAGAAAGGATAAACTTGTTTAGATATCGTCTGGTACAATCCTAAAATTTCACAGGTGACGAAAGTTAAGATAGCACTTTCGTCACCTGTGAAATTTTAGGATTGTACCAGTTCATATCGCACATTACTATTCTTTTTAAAAGCATACATTATCTATGCACTCTCTGTTGTAAATACTTAAGGTCAAGTAACAGTAAATGGGCTATGTCACAGATTTCAGTAAAATTTTGCATACAACTCTAGCTGGATGAATTACAACTGAAAATCGAAAAAATAATGCATTTATCTCATTTATCATTTGAATTATTACTGGTTGAATTCTTACAAAATGGGTGAAGATTTGTATAGAAAGAACATAAAATCGTCGAAAAACCTTCTAAAATTTGTCTTAAAATCGCCAAATCTCTTAATCTACTCCATAGATTTTTCTTAAAAAACCATATGTTGTTGATACATTAATTTCCGATATAATGATGCAAAATGAAGATAGGGTCACCGACTTCGTTTTTACGGTATACATCATTCAAAGCTGTGTTATTTGGGAAAAAAACCAACAAAACGTCGAAATAATCGTAACGTCAACGCGTTGAAGGCCGTAAAACGTTGATTTTTGACGTTTTTCACTACCAACTAGGTAACAAATTTAATTATTAGACAACAAACGAAGTCGGTGACCATATGATTATTTCACATCATTAAAACAGAAATTTATGTGTCAACAACATATAGTTAGAGATTTGGCGATTTTAAGACAAATTTTAGAAGGTTTTTCCCCGATTTTATGTGCTTTCTATACAAATATTCACCCATCTTAAAAGAAATCAATCTGCAATATTTCAGATAATAAAAGAGATAAATGCATTTTTTTTTCGATTTTCAGTTGTAGTTCAACGGGCCAAGGTTGTATGCAAAATTTTAGCAAAATCTGCGACATAGCCCATTTACTGTTCCTTGACCTTAACCTACGTCATTTTTTAAATTTTAGAATTATACAATCGTTGTTCGGTTTTTTTAATTGTATAACAGTTTCTGTAAAGAGTGTTATGGTTAAATCAGAATACATTGATATGATTCATTTCACATCATCATAACTATACCGATGAAGGATATCTGTTATCCGAAATATTTATAGATGCTTATATTTAATATTTCTTTTTTTTTAATATTAGTGTTGTTTTTATACACTTGTAACAGCCAGTTTCTTCAGGCTTTATTAAGAAATAACTTCAAGCTAGGGTTCTGTAACTTTTATTCAGACGATGCGAAGTAAATATAATGGATATGTAAATACACCCTCACACATAGTGCAAGTGGCACATTTCCATATAAACCATCAAATACTCAAACACTACATCTTCACGGGTGTCATTCGGTATATCGAGGAAAATGGTCGTGAAAGAATACTTAACGGTGATAAAGTATTGCGATTGGATCGTGAAAGCTCTTGTATATGATCATGAATAAAATTTTATCGAGAAGTCATTTGCAAGGTCAAATGTTAATCTAATTTAACGAATTATACGGAGAATTAACAAAAAAATAAAACTGCCTATCAAAATAGTTCAACATTATGATCAGTATCTGAGAAAAATCAAGGTTTAAATGTACACCATTTTTACAAAACTACAAAAGGCAAATTGCTCCTCAACATTTCAATGACAATAAATATGTAAACAAACAAGATTTTTTTCATAATTCGAATGACTAAACAACTTTTCTTTGTAAAATGTCATTCCATTTAAATGATTCAAATGGTTTTTAAAGTTAATTTGTGTTAGCATAATCAGAAATTTTGCAAAAAATGAAATATTTACAAAAAAATGATTTTTCGGATCGTGAAAGATCGCGTACCGCTTTTTGAAGATCGTGAAAAGGATCGTGAAAGATCTGATGCTACGAAAACGTTCAAATTTTTATTTGATTACAGGATACTTTATAATTTTAATTGGTATAGCAAATACTGAATTTGCCAGACTCATTCCGGTTCACTTTCGTTGGTGAATAGGGCTATAATCGTTCAATGCCATTGGATCTGATTATCTTATGTATAATACCACACCGACTTGGTACCTTATAACAATAACACTTTATTTGTCCGTTTTTTTTAAGTTTTGAATTCTTATACAAATTTAAGATTGAGAAAAGAACTTGGGATCCCGCTAACATGTTTAACCCCGCCACTTTCTGTATGTATGCGCCTGTCCCAAGTCAGGAGCCTGTAATTCAGTGGTTGTCGTGTGTTGCTGTGTTACATATTTGTTTTTCGTTCATTGTTTTGCACATTAATTAGGCCGTTAGTTTTCTGATTTGAATTGTTTTTCATTTGTCATTTCGGGGGCTTTAATAGCTGACTATGCGGTATGGGCTTTGCTCATTGTTGAAGGCCGTACGGTGACCTATAGTTGTTAATTCCTGTGTCATTTGGTCTCTTGTAAAGAGTTGACTCATTGGCAATCATACCACATCTTCTTTTTATAATTAATCGACTAAATTACAGTTTAAGCTGGGCACTAGGCACAGTCGAGGTACGTTGATTGGTAATTTCCCCCAATAAGTTGAATACAATGACGTATAGCTATTGTGAACAGACTGATCAAACAATCAAGTAAAAATAACTTTATATTGGTACATTTTTTTAGTTTATGTCAGCGCAGCCACGAAATAAGCAATAAATGAGCTTATATCGTCATACTATTTACGCACGAACGACACTTCATATATCTGAAAGTAACAACCCTGACACACACACACACACACAAAATGCGTACACATGCATATATTTCCGCGGCGGATGCATTAAGCATTATGGATACATATATACTTTTACTTTACGACAATTTACGCTCCTGACGGTAATTTTATCTAGTAAATCTACCCTTTTAGACACGTTTTTAGTTATTTTGATAACTTTTAAGAAAAAGTGTTGAAATAAGAAAAAAGGGAGAGAAAAAAAAATGAAAGCATTAATGTTAATAAAATAATAACACGCTTCAACTAGTTGCAAGAATACTAGTCCAACAAAAGTAACGATACACAAGTTTGAACTCCAATTTATCATAAAATATAATAAATAAGAGCAACTGTTATTATCCAATGAAAAACATTCCTTGGCAAATCAAATACATTTGATTGAAAGAATCTGACCAAATTGGAAAGTGGGAAAATACTGTGTGAATTGAACACAGGGGTCAAATTTATTTTGAGGGAAATGATGACAAAAGTCGGCACTTAATTTTGAAAATGAGAATTAAGTATTCAAATATCTACAGAGCATTTCAAAATTTTAAGCAGACCATGTTAAAGTTTATAGTTTTAAGTTCTAATATCGATTTTTGAATTTTTGGGTGAAAATACGATTTTTGAAATGACAAAAATTGCAAAAAAATATCACGTATTTGCCTTAAGTCAATGGTTTTGATAAAAAAAAATAACACTCAGTAAATATTAGACGAATTGGGCAATTATTCACCTTGGTACAGTGTATCTATTTTCATTATGTATGGAAAATACATTGTCTTGTATCGTTTCTTTTTTTAACTGGTATATATCAATTGGTAAAAGAAATATTGTTTTCTGATTATTAAGTCTAGTCCGGCGTGGGACATTTGGGTTGTTTAACAATAAAATTTCGGTCTTCACAAATTGAAACAAGCTTAGATCAACTATGATGGTGTAGTTCCTTGGACTATCCATGCAACAGAATGGACACAAGAGGAATAGAGTTTCCAATTTAAAATTCACTAATTAAAAAAGCTAGCTGAATTTGGTCAAAATTTAAATGTTCCATCCATGAAAGTTCGTTTTCTCTATTGTTTACCTAAAAACGTATACTATATTTTTTATAATACGTCCAATTTACCTGAATATTTTTTTCTGATTTTGTCGTTAATTCGGAAGAACTTTCAAAGCAAATATGTATATCTTTCCATGACTATGGTAAATTTTAAAAGATTACAGGTAAACTTTTATAGGTAAAAAGCGCAAATATCTTTTCAATTTTGTACAGGTGTATCAAAGTTTAAAGCCCAAATGTTCATAGTGTTTGAAGCGCATAAGTCTTTTAGTGTTACAGGTAAAAAAGCGCAAACGTCCTGCACCCGTCTGGTCACACCTGGTCTTTCACGATCAAGATAATGCGTTGCCCGATCTTTCACGATCAATTTGGGTGAAAAATCAACAAAATTAAATGTTTACAAAACATAAATGAACGGTTTCAATGGAAAAAAAACCTTTTATTTTACTGTGCTAATTGACACACAAAAGATTCAGTTTAAAATATATCATTATATATTGGAATGTGACCATTATAGGTGCAAAACGTGTTTTTTTTAATTAATCCCAATTTCTAAAGTTGTTAAATTGCAGACAGGTAAATATATATGTGT